ATAAACATGTATAACCATATATGATTATACGTCTCTGTCATATAATCATTTATGATTTAGACATACCTCGCTGTTGCCGGTATGCTGGAGCATTAGACGACAAATGAGAAATGTTGAAATTCAAAATCTCTATTTTTTTAAATCTTAAGTGAACCGTCTTTTATATATATATATATATATATATATATATATATATATATATATAATAGCTTTTTAACTTTAGAAAGCTACACTATTTTTAAAATAAATTACGTCCATTGATGAGTTTTGTCAATCTATTAACAAATCCTTGTAATAAAAAATAAAAATAGAAATATATAATTAGGATTTGTTGTATCATGTTTAGGGAGTGATGTATGGCATGTTGCGTTTTCTTATTAACTTTTTAGCATCCACCTCAATGTCCCATTATTTTTTGCACACGACATGCTTAGCATGTTATTTTCAAGGATGGGTCAAATTGATTAAATTTGTAAAAAAAAAACATTTAGAATTGGTTGTTACCCTCTGTCTCACTTCGTCATTCAAATGTCGTTTGAAGACAGAAAGCAAGCTCAACATGCCACTGTCGGGGGATGGTGTATGTGATAGATGGCATGGAGTTGCCCAACTACATGTCCTCCTACACCTTGAGCCTTAGTGTCTTATAGTTTTGTCAAATCATGCAACTTTGTTGTTTAGAATATGAATTAAAATATTAATATTTATACAATTTTAGATGAAGAATGTGTTATTTTAATTATATTTTAGTTGTCGCATTAAATTATTACCCATATGAATTCCTATATATTCATTTCATTTTGTTAGAATTGATATGAAGGCATCGGCAGAACGTGAAAAAAAGCGTATATAATGATTCTTAAGCCTTTTGTTGTATTTTTTGGAATTTTGATTTGCGTAGTACACATTATTTATGCGAGAAACCTTGAGAGTAAATTCTTTAATATTGATATTGCAATAGTTCAGACTGTACGTGGACAAATAAAGGCGGCTAGAATTCAGTTGCAGGATTCTGAAAGCAAGCTCAGCCAAATTAGCGGAAGCTTGAAAGTGAAAGTTCAGAATATACTTGGACAATTAACGTCAGCTAGAATGCAGATCCAGGATTCTGAAAGCCAGCTCGGCCAAATTAGCGGAAGCATGGAACAGGATGAAGAAATTCCAAGGGAAAGGGTAGTAGGAATGTTCAATGATGATATTATAGAAAATCATGACGGTCGACTTAACAATGGAGTGTGACGAGAAGGATGTGTTGGTGGTGGTAGTATACCTAGAGATGGCATAGGAGGTGGTGCTTGAGGAGGAGGTCATGGTGGTGGACACTGATGGCTATGAAACACAATAAAACTTGTAGAATAAAGGGCGAAAATTACATGCTAACTCTATCTATTTGCTTATAAATAAACACGCATTATTTGAAGTTGTGTCAAAGATGTATGTTTTATATTATCCTTAAGTATTATATGTGTCATTACATCATTTAAGTAATGAGTGATTCAATATCTCAAAACTGTCATGTGTATATGGATTCTCTATAATCTCTAACTATAAACATTTGAGCATACTTAACACGCCATACATTATACTAAGGATCTCTAAAATATAGATGGTTTTCATTATCGTTGAATATGGTTAATTGATCGGTAAGATAGTCTCTTTGCAATAAATATAATGTCATGTTGAAATCAAATCAACGTTATGTTGGATTTTATTCAAAAATTTGATTTCTAAAACGGTAAAACGGCAACCGAAGCTTAAAATCCGGTTTCTAAAACGGTAAAATGACAACCTTTATTGAATTTGGTTCCTCTGTGGAGGTTGGAAGTTGATGAAGAATGTAAGTTAGAACTCCACCTTAATTAGAAACACCAATATTCTTCAACTTGATAAGATGCTAGTCTTCTTCTTGTAATAATAATACTCTTAAGCCATTACGAACAAAAATGAGCTTTTGCCATAAAGATAGATCAAGTATCAAATATATCCTAAATATCTTAACTATTTTGAGACATAAAGAAAGGGAGAGAGGATAGAAATCAAGTATTCTTCAACTAGCAAAAATAATGAGATAAAAACGTCACTTAAAACGTTTCCAAGAGTCCTCTTTATCCATTGAGGTTACTAGCTTTTAGTATCATACCTCTATAGAGAAAAGCCTATAAATAAAAGGGTATGACTTTGCTAATAAACAAGTCGTTCCTTTCTTTTTCACTCTCTATTCACAGTCAATGAAGTCGAAAGGTGAAGACATATGAGTTTGTGTCATTCTATCAACATCTAATTCCTAAAAGCTCAAAGCTTCAATTAAAATATAAAGTAATTATATTAGTTATCCATTTATCACAGATATCTTGTTGAACATGAGACTTTGATCGCAATGAATCTCATTTGGTACTTAACTTTGGTTAACACGCATTGGATGTCTAAATCTCAACACATAAGAGGAATAAATCTCATCATAACTACATAAGCCTCTTGCATAGTTTGCACCATACTTGCTAATGAACTTTCCGACTACCCGGTTAAGGATCAACATTTGAACACATCCAAGCATACCACTCCATAGTCCTTAGTCCCACTATGTATCTCAGGTGTTAAGGATACAAAGATAGTACGTTTTATCAAGTATCACTAACAAAAGAGATCCATGAGGTGATCATGATGGGATTCTATTCAAAACCGGTTCTCTGATAAGTACTTATGAATTCTGGTTACAACCACTTGCCTACGTTCATCTAATGAGTGCCAACCAATCCAATTAATATTAGTCTTACTTAATAAATGTTACCACAATCATGACTGACTATGAACTTCTATTATAATAATGACTATTAATGGTTTAAACATGTTAATATGGAACATAACCAGTATTGATGTGAAGATGATATCCTTATGGGTATGCCTAAACTTAATGTTCCAATATCTAGATACTAAATCCAAATCAAATCACATTTCTAGAATAATAAAGTCCTATAGCTAAGGCTTAACCATTCATGCTTAGCTTAAAGAAAGACTCTATTTAAGGGTATGGCCAAATTTAATTTTGTGAATTCTGATGAATATTATCATCTCCATATTTAACTTTATTCTAAGTATCTCAAAGAATATGATTGGTGTTATTATGTGATTTAGAGTCTCTTAGCTTTATTAAGTAGACTCTTAAAGTCACAAAAGATTTCTAGGTTATCCTTGAATGGAAGGACTTAACTTAGTTTTTAAATAAACTCATTCATCCAATCATATTTGATTGCAACTTCTAAAGTAGCAGTGTATTCAGATTTTATAGTAGGTTGTACCGTTATGTTTTTCTTGGACCTCGTTCAATAAAAATTACTCTTCATTTCATAATGAAGTAATAATCCAATTATAATTCATAGTTATATCTATCTGCTCTGAAGGTAGCATCTCATTTAACTCTTTACATAAAGATCTTCTTCTAAACTGGTTATCTAATATACATTATTTTAGCTCTTCTTAAGTACTCTTAGAATGTCCTTATAATCATCCATTGATTTACCCATGCACTAGAACATCCTTAAATAATCTCTTATTATTAAGTATGTCCTATTCATACAAGATTAGGAATATCATTATGCTGACACTAGTTCTTAGTAAACAAAGATGTTATCTTCATTTTGATAAAATAACATACTATTTACGATTCCATCCTTTAGATGTTTGATTTATATCCAAAACTAGATATTAACACTTACATATTTTTTTAGGATAACTTGGACAAAGAAAACCATTAGGCTAAGCTACGTAGACATCTTCAAGTAGGTGTCTATTAAGGAAATCGGTTTTCTTGAAATTTGTTTTCCATTTCTCATAATCATGGTAGTTATGGTAAATAATATCATTTTTTATATAATCATAGTAACTTGAAATAATATTTGATTATAGTCATCGGAATGAGTGTGCTTAAAGCATTTAACAACATGTCTTGCTAAATATGTCTCAATCTCTATGTATGTATTCTTTCTAAAAGAATTACTTACTCCTTCTAGCCTAGTTATAGAGGGGAAATTAATCAAGCCCATACTTGATTATCATACATGGATTACATCTTAGTGTTTATATCTATAAGTCATTTATCAGGTTCAAAGTCTAATATAGATTCTTGGTACTTAATGGATTTGCTAAAAACCATCAAGAAGAACTCATCAATGAGAGATTCCATATTTCTCATGTTATAGATGATTTCTACAATATATGTGAAGAATTTGTGTTTATGAATAGCTATTATTCATGTTCAAGAATTGCATGTCAATACTGGTGCCAAGTGCTGCTGCATTAGGCTATGGTTCTTGAGATGCTTCAAGTTCCATGAGCCTCCCACTTTGTTTTTCCTCGGAAACTTGTTTTTTAGTAACTCAGCTTTAATATGAACAAGAGAAATTATTATTCGTGGGTTTCTATAAATAATCTAAGCAACATTTAAGAATATTCTACAAATATGTATTTACTAGATTTTATGTTTAAAAGCTTTAGTCTAACATAGGCTTCCAATCCACAAAAAATTAATTAAGATAAGGATGGAGCCTTCCATACTAAATATTATAAAGTGTTTTATCTACTCATTAGTTGGTGTTTCGATTGAAAGTAGAAGTGATAGTGATTAAGGAATAATCCCAAAAGAATAAAGGAATATGATTTCTACCAATTAGAAAGTAAATCATATCTAGTAAGGTCTAATTTATCCTTTATTATCACTAACACTTTAGATGATTCAACTGATATGTATCTCAACTTTATATTTAAAAACTTCAACAAAGGTTTCACAACTATTTTTATCAGGTAAAATATACTTACGACTATAGTTGTTAATAAAGTTGACTAGGTATCTTGTACTAAATCTAGACAGTCATTAGAAAAGGAAGTCATACATCTCAGTGTATAATTTCTTAATAATTGTTTTCTCTACATTTGGTGAAAATATCATTAGGATTACTTTATATATAAATAAGATTCACATATGTCAAATAAACTACATTACTTGCTTTCAAAAATCCATTTCTTGAAGTTGGGATATATGTATTTCATTTATATAATAAAGATAACAATGTATTAGACAAGTTTAATTCAAAAAAGGTTTAATTCAAAAGGTGTTTTCATATAAAACTTTTTATTTAGAAAACATTGATATTTAGTTTATAATTCTATTAAGAGATCTAGTTCTCTAAACAACATTTTAATCATTATAGAATATGAAGGTGATCGTTATGAAAATTGATTAAGAAAATAATCATTCATTTAATAAATTAATTGAGACATATATTTAGATATGTTAAATTTAAAACATACATTGTTCTAAAACAAACATTGTTTTACAATACAAATACTTTTTGTTCCAAGCATAAATTACAAACTAAACTCTTGGAGTGAAGTTCCAACTTGCTTGTGCTCAGCTGGTTACTCTTTTAAAATATCTTGAAGCCATTTATAAATATTAGACCAACAATAAGTACCAAGTAATTGAGTGTGTGAGAACAAGAATCAATGCGCAAGGACAAGGTTTGAAAACTCAAACGTTGAGTTAATCTTTAAGATCAATGTCTGCTCTTAATGCAAGTTCCAGTCGAATATGCTAATACCAGTTAGGACTTGAAGAGGATATTCAACAAAGTATTCAAGATAATAAATGAAGTAAACTTAGAGTATAATTAATGCAAAGGTGTTTGAGGAACAATAAGAATGTTATGAAAGAACTTTGACTTCAAGGAAAAGTGAAAATGACGTGAAGAGAATATTCGCTATTCTTAGTGTAAAACTTAAATTGTTCACATCTATATTAATGGTGAAAACTTTCACTCCTTAAATAGTAAAGGAGGAACATAGTACAAACAAAGTAACATTCCTAGGACTGGATAATACTCAGTCTTTTAAAAACCGATATCCAAAAGATACATAAAGAAATGTCCTATGAACTGTTACGTCACTAATAAAGATAAAATACATTAAATGTAAGAACATAAAACTAATCTCAGAATTGCACTACATCTCAGAATGATCTTCATCTCGGAACATCTACAGATCTTGGACTTATCTTGGACTCAGCTGACTTTCAGATCTTGAGTGATTGCTAGAGGTTCACTTTTCATGATTCAACAATCGCCCCCTAAGTGAACTTAGAAATCTTGTCAGCTTAGTTAGCTTCTTCTTTCATAAACACATAAACTCTGTATAGCCTGTTTCGAACTTCCAGGTACCATTGGAGTTGATTGATGAATTCAGTTTTC